TTTGACTTGAAAAGGGAATTTTTTTTCTCCCCAAAGAGAAGTCTAATTTGGTTAGCTAGTTTGTCAGAGAGACTGGCGTTGCTAATTTGCATAATTATTATTTACAATAAATTGAGCTAAATCTGCAGCTGCAACTAAAATATATTTAAATTGCAGTAATATTGTAATCTAAAGATGTGTTGAAATTAACAATATCGAATTTCCCAACTCTTCCCAAATGCCTGGAAGAGAAAGTAATCAGTATAATTAAAAATCACTTGAGAAAGTGAAGGATTCTAATGAGTGGATAACAAATTCTTTTGCTAGATTGTTTCCAGGTTTGTTTTGTTTTGTTTTGCTGTGCTTTTAACAGAATTAGTAGTAGACCCTAATTGAACTGTCCACTGAGGAAGGAGCACTACTTGACTTTTGGCATATCAGTCAGAAGGAAACCAAAGAACTGATTGACATTTCTATAACAGAATTACCAGCATTCCCTTGTGAGTCATCTTTCTTGGCATTGTATCTATGAAAACAAAAAAGAAAATTGAAGCAAGAACCCTGTTAATCTAGCAGTAAGAAACAGTCATTTAGATACATGAATTAATTGCTGGGGAATTCCCATCCATCTCACTGAGATTATGTTTCCAGTAGAATTTTACCTTTTATTTATGTAGTAACAAAATTTATAATCATGTCATTTTGAGCAGCTGTATATTAAAGATAATTATAATGCTTACTCAGCTCGGAAGAACTCAAATACATAAAGCCATACAATTACGGGGAAAAATTTTTTTAACTTCCTTTGATCCATATTTTTTTCACGAATAAGTGATCAGTAACAGGTTTCTGAAATGTAAAAATTACTGTCTTTGGATAACATTTTATAGAGTAGAACATAAATGTAACTTAGAGATGAAAGAACAATATAGAATTATCAAATGTTTAAGAGCTCATTTGTGTAATTTTAAATGGATGATGGTGATCATTAAATTGTATGTAGAGTCTTTTGGATACATTATTAAAAGCGATTTGACAGTTTTATCTTAAACTGTCATTATTTACCGTTTGTGAGAGTTTACATTCATTGCAACCATTTAAATTTGTGATGGAAACTTTAGCTATCAACTTAAAAGTTTGAGGAGATAAAACACTTTTTCAGAATTCCCTCTCCCTTGGGCTATCATTGCCATGCCCTCCTTGGTTTTCTTGTCTTCTTCATCTGTCTGGGTTCATCCAGCTCCATCCTGCTTCAGTTTGTCCAAAAGCCTCACGGAAACTCCTGCCAACCAAATGCTATGGTTAAAGCGAGTACAGGTTTAGAATCAGGCTGCTTGAGCCAGCCACCGATGCACCACATATTAGCAAGTTACTTTACCTCTCTGTGCATTGGTTTCTCATCAGTGAAATGAGAATACTACTACTTGCTGCCTCCTGTTGTGAGGATCAAATGAGAAAAGTCATGTAAAGATTTCAACAATGTATATGGCTCTGAACAACTGCCTTTTAAAGACTAGCTCTGGGGCACCTGGGTTGTTCAGTCAGTTAAGTGTCTGACTCTTGATTTCGGCTCAGGTCGTATCTCATGGTTTGTGATTTTGAGCCCAAGATTGGGCTCTGTGCTGGCAATATGGAGCCTGCTTTGGATTCTTTCTCTCTCCCTCTATCTCTGCTCCTCCCCAGCTTGTTCTCTCTCTCCCTCAAAACAAAACAAACAAACAAAGACTAGCTACTAGCTCCCCAAATGTGAGAGAACTGCATCACAGTGCTGATCTGTCACCATGTGTCTGAAGAGATATGGGAACAGGAAGCTGGTAAGAGGTTTCTAAAAGTCAAGACCTGAATTCGCTCATTCATTCAATGAATATTGAATATCTCCTAAGTATTAGGCATTGTTCTGGGTCCCTGGGATATAACAGTGAACTAGACAAAACCCCTTTCTCTCCTGAAGCTTAGATTCTTGGTGGGCTGGGGAAGATAGATAATAAGCAAATGCATGACGGTAGAGTGAAGGAGGTGACAGGTGCGGTGAGGAAAAAGCAGGGAAAGGAGGCTATACTATGTTGGCATAAGGGGCACCTTCTCTATACAAAATAAGCAAGGAAGACCTCTCAGATTGACATTTGAGCATACGCCCAAAGAAAGTAAGAGAAGAAACCACATAAGTATCTGGGGAAAGTGCAGAGGCCCTAAGGTCAGACAATGATTAGTATATATGAGGAATAAGAGGGTGTAGAAAGAGGAGAGAGAGGCAGATCATGTCATCATGCGGTCCTTTAGATAAGAACTTCTACTCAGTGAAATAAGAAGCCAACGGAAGGTACTGAGTGGAGGAGAAATCTCTTCTGCCCACCGTGTGGAGGGTAAATTGAATGGGGACACACATGGAAAAAGGGAGTCCAGTTAGGAGGCCATTTTGAGAATCCAGGTGAGAAATGAGGGGGGCGCTTTGACTAGGGTGGTAGCAGCAGAGGGAGAAGTGAATTATGGAAAGTGAATCATTTGCTACCCTGTGCAGAAAGATAGTGTTTGTAAATAGAAGGGTTGGTGTGTATGAAGACTGACATGGGAGCCTCAAAACAGGCTGTCACCAGGGTTTTGCTAAAGGAGACAGGCTGAATTTGGGGGATAAGGATTCTCCTCCCTACTGAGTGGCGGACACTGGTAGGATAGTTGGTCTACCCATCTAACCTGAACGATAAAGTGCTCTCAAGCCCTTTCCCATGGTGCCTTGATTTCCGGCTTACCACACATCCAAATTTCCTTAACTGATGCCCTGGACATAAGTACTCTGGTCTCAAGAATGACCCACTTCCCACACTGGGAATGAATACTTGATACCAGTCTCTTGTGATTGTGGTGTGACTCACACTCCCTTTCTGGAGAGCTGAGAGCCAGAAACAAGGTGACTCCATCAGTTTCTACCACACTGTGCATCCTCATAGAAGCAGCCAGCCTGTTTATCTTTTACATCCAGATCATTCTATTCTGTCTCCCATATGGGCTACCAAATCTATTTTACTTCCCTGTCTAAAAACCCACAATGACCTATTTCCAACAATATGATATGACCTTTAAGGCCCTTTATTACATGACATCACTCTACTCTTCTGGACCCTTCTAACATTTTCTTTGAAATACCCCAGAAAATAACTGAAACAAGATGACTAGAACTATGTAAGGAGACACTTAAATGTAGATTGTGCAAATAATGGAGATAATGACTTAAAATTTTTTTTTAATTTTTAAAGTAATCTCCTACCCAACATGGAACTCGAACTCAGGAAATTGATATCAAGAGTCACACTCTCCACTGACAGATTCAGCCAGGTGCCTGGAGACTTTGACTTTATTTAAAAGATCACATGGCACTCCTTACCAGCGTAGTGAACAAACTTCTCACCCACACTCACAGACAGTGCACACTGTTGGTAACTTCCATCTGTTCTGTTCACCACATCATGAATTTTTTAAAAAATTTTTTTAATTTTTAATGTTTTATTTATTTTTGAGAGAGAGATAGAGACAGCATGAGCAGGGGAGGGTCAGAGAGAGAGGGAGTTACAGAATCTGAAGACAGGTTCCAGGCTCTAAGCTAGCTGTCAGCACAGAGCCCAACACGGGGCTGGAACCCATGAACCATGAGATCATGACCTGAGCCGAAGTTGGATGCTTAACCGACTGAGCCACCCAGGCGCCCCACCACATCATCAATTGAAGCTTATCTGAGGATGAAGTTAGTGTGTCTTACCCTGAAGCCCAAACCCTTCACTGTAGCTTAGGAAACGGCCAGTGCTTCAGCCATCCTGAAAATTCTCCTTCTCCAGCCAAGCGATCCTCCTTTTTATATGGCTCCATGGTGATTCACCAGCAGGAATACCTTCCATCTCATTATCTATGTAACCCTTTATGGGACTTCTCAGGTGTCACTTCTGCAAAGCCTTTCCTGGCTCTACCCTGTATTTACTAACCTGTTTTTACACTGAGTACACTATACAGTGAAGTCTCATCTTACACAGAGGTTGCATTTTAATACCAGTGCACTGGACGAAACATGATCAAAAATATCCTTGGAAGTCCCTCAGGAAGATGTCAGCCTGGGAGATTGTTATATTGTGTCCTGTTGAATGTGAGCACTGCCAGGTTTTCTCCAGGATGGCAATAAATCACTGCTGCTTTCTTTGCACAAATGAAATGTTTCATTTGGGTGGCGGATAGTTTCAAAGTATTTGAAATGTGACTGTAATCACATTTATTGTGGCAAAAATGCACACACTATTAGGCTTGTGGAATCTGAGACTCATCCACTCAGGGATGATCTACTACCATCCCCCCCAGTGGGCCATCCTTCCCATGGCGGGGCACACCCATCAAGTGAAATGGCAGGTAGGTCCCTCCTTCCCTCCCTGCCCAGCTGGGATTCACATAGGAGAATTCAGCTAAGTTCAAGGTGGTATGACCCCACTATATTATATAGAACTCCTTGTTCTGAAATTACCTGCCCAACCAGCCAAACTGGGTGCTCCTGAAGCACTCAGGACAGATTCTCATGGGTTATAATGCTTAGACTAGATTAAGTATCAATAAAAGTTGGATAAAATTAAAGTGTCCTTTATGTCTACCCCACCCTTGTCTACCTCTGAGTAATTAATGCAGACAGACTCCTGGGCCATATTATTTACCTTGAGACCAAAGACCAGCACAAGAAGCAGCCTCTCTCTACAGGATAGTCTACAGCATTGCCCTTAAAGAACACTTTCTTGCTGTTTTTATTGTATCCAATCTAACCTCTTCAGCATGGAGCTCAAGGTTGTATCTCTGACCTACTTTCCCTTCTTTTCCCACCACCCACATTCCAGTTTGGCCATCCTTGTTGAAATATGCCTGTTTATGGTCTCCAGCCTACCAAGTGACATCATTATCTCGGAGACATTTTTAACTACTACTATACCCCACATTACCCCACCACATACATAAATAGAAGCTGAGCCCTAGTGAATAGAGAGCCAGTCCTTACAGGGTAATTTCAATATAGTTCTCTATCTTTATTGATACACCACCACACGCATGAGGGAAAAAACAGTGCTTTTCTGGAAAACATTGTGGAGTCCATCACATTTCAGATGTGGAAGTAAACCCTGAGGTTGGCAAGGGACTTTGGCAGTCAGAACAGCTGCAATAGGGCTCAGAGGAGCAATCCCTCTTCGTGGTAGGTTTGTGGGAAATGATCATCCCCTCCAGGTCCTTCACTTTGTTTTCCACCATCTGAAGTTTTTTCAAAATTCTCTCTTGCAGGCCCAAGGACAGGAAGAAATTGTTGTCTTGAATTGGCAGATTGGTCCCTTCTGGGTTGACCAGCAAAGCCTGAAAAAATTCTGCGCCCTTCTTGTAAAGTTTGTAGAGTGTGATTACAAACAACAATATTTTCTAAAATAAAACAGAAGTTGAATGTTACTTGTTTATTCACACTAATGCTTCAGTTTACTAACAGAATCAAATCAAAACAAAAACCTAACAGTAACAATAATCCCTCATTCCTATGCCGAGGCTTCTGTTTAACAAAACATCTTCACATCTATTTCGTCTTTTGATCTTCATCACAAAATGGAGTGATAGGCAAGTCAGGGATTATTTGCATTTAATTAGTAAAGATGATAATAATAGATGCCATTTGCTAAAATCTTGTCACATGCAGGGATCTGTGATAGGAGGGTGTTTTGCCTATGCCTGACCTGTTTATGTAGAAAAAACCCAGAGCTGGGTAGCCATTTAAATACCTTCCAGTTTGGACTCTGCCGTTGTCCAAGGTCATATACTTGGAAATGGTAGAGCCGGGACTGTAACCCAGGAATTCTGACTTCCATGTATGTTCCCTCAGGACACAGTGGTCTGAAAAACTAGATTCCTGGTCATGGGGGGAAGAAAAATTTAATGATCTAGGGCAGATTCCTGTCAAGATAAAAAAAAAATCATCTTTCTTCCTTATTATGACAACTGGCCCTGTTTATTGAGTACATACTGTGTGCTGAGCTTTACACACACAATATCTCCTTTAACCCTCACTACAACTCTGAGAGAGGCACTGTTAGCAAACCCATTGTACAGATAAGGAAAGTGGGTCTTTGGAGGCTGGTTGCTCTCAGCTAACACAGCAAGTAATGGACCCGAGATTTGAGGCCCAGCAGTCCGACTCCAGAGCCCTTGCTATTAACCACTTGTTTTACTACCTCTTTTCTTGGCTGAGGTGTCTGGAGGGCTGTGAATTCATCTAATTGAGCTGAACATTAACCAAACAAGAGCAGAACCCAGAATTAAAGAAAATAGTTTGTGTTTTTTACTTATATTCTTCTATTAGTTAGTTGAAGTGAGTGTATACACATATATCCCCATTGGGGATTTGCGTTAATTAGATTATATTAAATGAGATTTTGGAGATTTGAACTAAGAATCCTAAAAGTTGGGTTCAAATCTCAGATTTGCCAGTTTTTACAATTTATGTCAACTTGGTTAGGTGATAACCAAGTTTGCTTGCCTACAAAACGGAGATGATAATGAAAACAAAACCTCTATATGAAAATAACCTCTATCCATTTCATGTTATTGTTGGGATTCTAAAAGTAGTTTGACTAGGGGCACCTGGGTGGCTCAGTTAAGTGTCTGACTCTTGGTTGTGGCTCAAATCATGATCTCATGGTTCATGGGTTCTGCTTGGGATTCTCTCATTCTCTCTGCCCCTCCCCCTAGCACACTTTTGCACACACACACACACTCTCTCAAATAAACTTAAAAAGAAAACATGTTGGGGATCCTGGGTGGCTCAGTTGGTTAAGCGTCAGGCTCTTGCTTTCAGCTCAGGTCAAGATCTCACTGTTTGTGGATTAGAGTCCGCCTCTCGGCTCTGTGCTAACAGGCAGAGCCTGTTTGGGATTCTCTCTCTCCCTCTCTCTCTGCCCCTCCCCTACTTGTTATCTCTCTCTCTCTCTCTCAAAAATAAACATTAAAAAAAGAGAAAGCATTTTGACTACATTGTAAATATAGCTATTATTGTTGATTAAACTATGAAGTTATTATTATTGGTGATTAGAAGTATGTAAAATCCTAAATGTTTTTTTTTTAAATGTTTTTATTTATTTCTAGGAGAGAGAGACAGCGTGAGCAGGGGAGGGTCAGAGAGACAGGGAGTCACAGACTCTGAAACAGGCTCCAGGCTCTGAGCTGGCAGTCAGCACAGAGCCCGACGCGGGGCTCGAACCCACGAACCGTGAGATCACGACCTAAGCGAAAGTCAGACGCTTAACCGACTCAGCTACACAGGCACCCCATAAAATCCTAAATGTTTCTTATAATCTCAGCCAATTATGCTCCTATTCCCCCAAAGAATCCTTGTGTATTTATTGAGCCTGATATTGTTTTTTTCCAATGTTTTATTTATTTATTTATTTATTTATTTATTTATTTATTTATTTGTGTGTGTGTGTTAGAGAGAGAGAGAGAGAGAGAGTGTTCACAAGCACGTGAGCAAGTGAGGAAGAGGCAGAGAGAGGAGGAGACAGGATCTGAAGTGGGCTCTGTGCTCACAGCAGAGAGCCTGACATGAGGTTCAAACTCACGAACTGCAAGACCATGACCTGAGCCAAAGTCAGGTGCTTAAATGACTGAGCCACCCAGGCTCCCAAGCCTGATATTGTTAAAACAAAGAAATAATGAAAATATTGATGCCTAAATGAATATACATGCCTTGACATCAGGTACAGAACAAGGTCACAGTAAGAACATGAAGGCCAAACCCAAGGTCCCAATTATCCTTGCAATGCCTATTCTATTAAAAAGTACCCCTCATGGTGTCTGGTACATAGTAGAAACTCAAAGATGAGAACGTGATCAAGTAAGTTTGAGATGAAGCTGCCTTCTCAGTTTATAAACTTGTTTGATCCGTTTTATTCTAAAACAAGCCACAACACTGCAAGAGAGGGAGCATTTTATGCTCAGAACCTAATTGGTGAAAGTTTTTAAGGATAATCTAGTTTCAATCAATTTCAGCGATTAGGGTTCATCTTTGCTTATCTGCATGGTCTTTAAAATACGCTTAGCATCAATGTGGGAGAGAACTAACCAAATTCCAATTTATAACTATTTAAGTTCCTCTGTAACAAAAAAGTATAACCTGAATTGACCGAACACTTCGTTTCCATAAGGCATATACTCCTACTCCCAACAAAAGCAAAAAGGAAATCCCCAGGATAACTTGCACGGTTGGAGCAAGAGTATCTAGTATTCCAAAATTTGTTTGCTGAGGGGGACTAGTCTCTCCCAGAAGAGTTGCTTGTAGCCAATTCCATACTGAGCTCAGAGAAAGATATTCGATGAGGTTGCCCCAGACAGAAGATGAAGACGAAGATGTTGACATTTTGGTAAGACAGCAGCTCCAGGAACTACATGTGGAGAGGTTTCAGGAATCTAGATATGGGCTACGGAGGGAGGCCTTGGAGCCAAGGTGCTCTGGAGCCACTGTGAACTGTACATTGTGATGTCACTGTTCCAAAGATCAGCTTGCTTCCCACTCACCCAGTGAACTTTCTCACTCAGAACCAACCAGATACCGCATTTTCAGTTCAGTCATGCCACTTCCTCCGATCTTTGGCAAGTTCTAGCTCTAGCCCGGCACCATCCAATTGAACTTTCTGCAATGGTGGGAATATTCTATGTCTGCTCTGTCCAATGTGAAAAGTGTGGCCAAGGAACTGAATTTTACATCTTATTTAATTATAATTAAGTGAAAGTAGCCTCTGTGGCTGGTGGTCACTTTCTTGGAGAGTGTAGACATAGAACACTTCCAACAATACACTGAAGGGACAGCAAGTATTAACTTAGGTTAAGTGAAGATTTGCGGATATAAAGAAAGCTTTCCTGAAGAGTGAACAGTTTGCTCTTTAGAGATTAGGTAAACATGGAGGGGGGATTATTTTGTAGCATTCCCTTTTTTCACATGTCACTATTGTTTAGAAGTTGTGATCTTTGGGAAGACTTTAAACATATTTGAGGCTCATTTTGCTCATCCGTTTACAGATGGGGATGCCACATCCTTTGCAAGGTTTATATTAGAAACAAATGGGGGGTGTCGGGGTGGTTCAGTTGGTTAAGCGCCCGACTTCAACTCAGGTCATTATCTCATGGGTTTATGAGTTCGAGCCCTTCATTGGGCTCTGTGCTGACAGTTCAGAGCCTGGGGCCTGCTTCAGATTCTGTGTCTCCCTCTCTCTCTGCTCCTTCCTTGCTCTTTCTCTCTCTCAAAAATAAACATTAAAATTTTTTTATGCTAAATGTTTTTCTTAATGTTTATTTATTTTGAGAGAGAGAGAGAGAGAGACAGTGTGAGTGGGGGAGGGGTAGAGAGAGAGAGGGAGACAGAATCTGAAGCAGGCTCCTGGCTCTGAGCTGTCAGCACAGAGCCTGACACAGGGCTCGAACTCACGAGTGTGAGATCATGACCTGAGCTGAAGTCAGATGCTCAACCGGCTGAGCCACCCAGGTGCTCCAAAATTTAAAAAAAAAAAAAAAAAAAGGTATAATTTTTTAAACACTTTGTAAATTGTAGTGTGCTGCACAGTAATTTATATTACATGTTATCAAATCAATTATTTACTGACTAGTACCTATCTACTTTCAGCAAGGAGGTATGGAAATACAAAATGTATAATCTGTACATGAAAAGAGTTCACACACAAGTGTATAAACTGTGAGATCAATTGTGAAGACAGCCAAGAATCCAAAAGTGGGTTTGCACCAAGGGGCGGGAGAGGCACTAAAAAGGAAGAAAGGGGACAGTTATGACAATTTAAAGAAAAATATTGTCTGATGCTATTCCAATTTGCTCATTCTGGTTGAAAGGACAGCAACAGGGAGGCCTGGAAGAGGAGGAATAACTGCTTTGTTCTTGCAGGAAGGGGAGGTACGGCAAGTCGCTTGAGGTGCCAGAGACCCATCCAGAAAATGGAGCCTAGAGTGCTGTTGGAAATGTACTTATGGCTGAAATGATCTACTGGTTGAGGAGTGACTGCTATTGATGTTAACCCCACAGTCTGCTAATGACTGAACACAGAATCTTTTCCAGCAAGGAAAAGTGACACAGATAAGACTTTGGATTTGGCTATTATAGGTTGAACATAGGTCAGAAACCATTAAAGAATGCTAATCAGAAACTTTTTGGAGAAAGATACAGCTGTGACAACTAAATCATTGCTTGAGACTCTCTATACTAGATTAGATCCCCCTGTTACATGGCCCCTGTCACTTTCCTTTCAAAGCACTTAACAATTTTTGGTTTAACATGTCTTTCCTGACTATTATCAATTTGAAGACAGGGACCATGTCCCTATTGTTGACTACCATATCCCTAGGGCTTGGGACATAGCAAACATCAAAATATTAAGTGAGTGGTGCCTGGGTGCTCCGTCTGTTTGTATCCAACTTTGGATCAGATCATGATCTCGCAGTTCATGAGATCAAGCCCTGGATTGGGCTCTGTGCTGACAGCTCAGAGCCTGGAGCTTGCTGTGTGAGCAGGGAAGGGGCAGAGAGAGGGGCACAGAATCTGAAGCAAGCTCCAAAGTGACAGCACAGAGCCTAATCTGGGGCTTGAACTCACAAACTGCGAGATCATGACCTGAGCTGAAGTTGTACACTTAACAGATTGAGCCAGCCAGATGCCCCCACATTAAGCATTTTTAAAAATAAAATATTAGATGAATTCAAAGTCCCCTGGAAGAAATCTAAATATCTTTATGGCCTATTTCATCAAGTGCCTACTACGATATTTGTGTACTTGTTTGGGTAGAATCTTTTTATTTTGTTAAGTTTATTTATTTTGAGAGCGAGAGAGTGAGCAAGTGAGGGAGGGGCAGAGGGAGAGGAAGAGAGAGAATCCCAAGGAGGCTCCACACTGTTAGCTTACAACCCAATACAGGGCTGGAACTCATGAACTGTAGATAATGACATGAGTTGAACTTAAGAGTTGGATGCTTAACTGACTAAGCCGCCCAGGTGCCGTTGGATAGAATCTTTATAGAGTTAAGAAGATAGGCCTTTGGGAGTACAATAGAGCTGGGTTAAAAATTTTGGCTCTCCTACTCACTGACCTTGTTATCTTGAGCAAATTATTTAACTCCAGCCTTAATACCTTGTGACACAGGAGTAATTTCTACCTTGTAAGCCTGTAATGAGAAATTGAACATTTGTGTGAAAGAATAAGCTACCCATAGAGATAAGTGCAAGTATTGTTTGTAGTGACATTTATAACCAAACGCAAGGTGTTGTAAATCTCCATAGTATAACATACCTTAAAAGAACCGAGTCCAAATATCCATTTATAGTTTGACTACCTTCTTAGACACATGAACATCTCCAATGATGATCACCATGCAAGACATCTCAGCTCACCTCTATTTATTTATTTATTTTAAATGTTTGTTTACTTTTGGGAGAGCATGCCAGCTGAGCTGTCAGCACAGGGCCCAACATGGGGCTCAAAGTCACGAGTCGTGATATTGTGACCTGAGTTGAAGTTGGATGCTCAACTTACTGAGCCACCCAGGCTCCCTCAGCCCACCTTTAGTAGTGTCATCCATTCATCTATCTACCCGGCCAGCCATCGGGCACTTTCACATCAGACTGTATTAAGAGTTTTTGACTTGGGTCGCCTGGGTGGCTCAGCTGGTTGGGTGGCCAACTTCGGCTCAGGTCATGATCTCACGGTTCGTGGGTTGGAGCCCTGTGTTGGGCTCTGTGCTGACAGCTCAGAGCCTGGGGCCTGTTTCAGATTCTGTGTCTCCCTCTCTCTCTTGACCCTCCCCTGCTCACGCTGTCGCTCTCCCTCAGAAATAAATTTTTCAAAAAAGTTTAAAAAAAAAGACTTTTTGACTTATATACTGTAATTGCAGTATGACTTATGCAATGCCTACTTTTAAGCCTTCAAAAGGTTCTTCACCGACTTTCAAACAAAACCCGAAATCTAGAAACTGGTTACATGGCACCAAAATATGGTTGCTGCTTACCTATCTATCCAACTTTCTCTCTTTTCTCTTTCCCATTTTTTCTCTCAGCACTAGCTATACCAGACTTGTCAGTGTCATGAACACACCACAAAGCCTTTCCACACAATAGGATTCTCCTCTCTGGCTAATTCCTGTTGATTCTTCAGGTTTCAGTTCAAACATGGCTTCCTTAAGGAAACTCTTCCTGGACTTTTTGCTGGGGGGGGGGGGGGGCATCCTTTTGCCGCCACAGATTCTTCTGTAGCACTTTATGTAGTGTTTTATTGTCTATCTTCTTTACTAGATTCTAAGCTCCATAATGCAGGAAACTCACCACATCATGTTCAATACTAAGGATCCAGCAGATAGTATGAGCTTAGTGAATACTTGGCTATAGCTTTCCTGTGCCTCCAGTCTTCTCTTTTCCAGGATAAGCCTGTTGAAGACAGGTCAACAGGTTTTTAAATCTGTTTATCCTGGTTCCCTTCCTCAAAGTGGTTTGGACCTCCAAAAGCAGTCTGTCACAGAATCTATTCCTGAAGGTATAGACCAAGCAGGTCAGACTAGAGCAGGCCCCTCTTTCCAGACTCAGCTCTATATAATAGGAGGCTTTGCCTGAGTCAGCAGTATAAAACCAGGGGGTATCAGTCTATTGTGGGGGGTGAGAGGTGGGGAGAAGGGATTGAGCAACTAGTCTGACTTCTAGAAGTTTCTCTCCAAGAGAAAAATGGACTTTTTAACAGGTTACAAGTTACAGAAACCAGATGAACCAGTTTTCCTCTTTGCCCAAATGAGAAAAAATGTCAACACTAGATTATGACTGGCATTGGATCGGCATGACCTGGCTTTAACTTCAAACTTTATTCTCCATTATTCATTTTCACAAACAATATACTCAGTTTAATTACAGAGCTATGGTGTTTTTGGTACGTCAAGTACCACCTGCAACCTTCTAATGTTCTTCCTTCACATTGACTTCCCCTCCCTGATATCCTTTGTCAGATGAGATTGGAAACTAGGCTCCACCTATTCCCAGCTTTTATCAGCTAGGTAAAACACTTCATTTCCATCTTAAGTTTTTAGCTGCCAAATAAGGGTAACTGTACCTACTTCATGAAGTTATGAAAATTCAACAAGATAATTTTATGTAAAGTGCTTTAAAAAAGTGTAATTATCTTGAATTCTCAAAGTACTTTCCACTTTGTATTCTAGGCCACGGCTTCTCAACTTTCTCTATGCCTATGAATCATCCAGAGATCTTTTTAAAATGCAGATTTGGGCCCAGAAGCTCTGGATTGGGACCTGATATTCTGCATTTCTAACAAGCTCCAGGTGATGCCCATGCTGTTGTCCACTGACACACTTTGAAGAACATTTTAGCTACCCGAGCCCTCACATGAAAGCTCTGCACCTTGATAAATTTACTTTGCATTTTTATCTTTCCAAGCATCTGAAACTGTCTCTAAATATGTGTGCACTTAAAATAACTGGTTAATAACTAATTCATCTTCCAATGACTATGTCCTTGACAGTGCAGGGCAGATGTAGGCAACCTGGAACTGAGAAAGGATAGGTTTGGGATGGAATACTAATCAAAAACTTTCTTTTCCATCATTTCTCAACACCCCCCCCTTTTCCTCCCACTCTTTTTCACACGTGTTCATAAACATGGGGTAACACGTAAGAGAATTTTCGGTAAAAGGACAGAATGAAAGTATCTGGTACTCTCAACTTCTACTCATCATTTAGCAGGCATTCTTGAATTGAAAACAAAGTCAATGCTTCCAGGTTTGTGCCTGCATTTGGACAAATCCCAAAGACACATCAAGTAAAAATGACAGTACGAAAAGCTATAAAAATACCTCTCTGACCTTCTGAACTATACATGCTGGGTTTCACATAAAACATTATCTTTAAGGGCGCTTCGGTGGCTCAGTTGGTTAAGCGTCCAACTTCGGCTCAGGTCGTGATCTCATGGTTCGTGGGTTTGAGCTCCGTGTCGGGCTCTGCGCGGACAGCTCAGAGCCTGGAGGCTGCTTCAGACTCTGTGTCTTCCTCTCTCTCTGCCCCTCCCCCGCTTGCTCTCCATCTCTCAAAACAACAACAACAACAACAACAACAACAACAACATTGTCTTTAATAAAAATCAAATGAAGATGCTCCAACTGAAATAGAAAATAACCTTAGGATGAACTTGAAGCAAACTTTCAATAGCATTCTGAAAATTAGGGTTTGGTTCCACTACAAAGGGACCCACTTGGCCCTTTCTGGGGGTAGAAGTTAGGAGTGGTTGAATGGACGTGGTTCAGTATTCAGCGAATTAGCAATCTTCTCTTGTTCTGGGCTAATAATGAAGCCATCAGCTTCATGCTCAGTTTCTCCTGCTCACATCACAGAAAGTGACATTTCAAGATATCCCGTACCTCTTCACTTTATAGGTGAGGAAACTGAAGCCCACAGAAATTAGCTTAAAGGTACCAAGGAGTCAGTAGTAGCCTCAGCCTCTAAGATGTCTGTGTCCACTCTGCCATTTTTTCTTTTAACAGATTCTTATTTGAGAACCCTATGTTACCTACTAGGATCTGAACCAAGAAACCACTTGGGCACTATGTGTGTGTGTGTGTGTGTGTGCACACAAGCACACGCGTACACACACACACACACACACTTAGACTCTTAGGTTTTTAAGGGTCAGAGAAAAGGTCTTAAAATCCTATCCACAGGCATAAAAAAGGGACATTAGGAGTGTCTGAGTCACTTCATCTCTAGCTAATGAAAGGGACTGAGAACATCACAATGAACAGAGAATAAAGCTGCTGTATTTATAAGAACACATTGCTTTCTTTGTCTTTAGACATACCTGGCTCATTGTCCACTGAGGTTCAATGTATCCAAAGACCAAGCTCACCTTGACTTTCCATCCTCTTCCCAAAACTTCACTTCTTCCTTTTGTATTCCAACCTCAACTGGATGCATCAGTACTAAATTTGTTTTCCTCAAAATGTTTTTTTTTTCACATCCAACTCTCTCCTTTAAATGTCATCTCTTCTTCCTTGTGCTCCAACAGATAGTATAATTCTCATCAGGCTTGCCTCCGTTATTTCAACAGTCTTAATATCTACTGTTTCCATTCTCAGCCCCTCACATCACAATCATTTCAAGTGATCTACAAATTATTTTTACCATCGCAATTAGCATCATGTCATTTTGTTCAAATCCTTTAAAGGCTCTCAGCTGCTTATGGACTCGAGTCCAAACCCAATAGCATTCATGGTTGGGTCCCAGCCCATCTATCTGGACAGTCATCTCATCCACCTTAGTGCTCCCCTTTCGTTGCAGCCTACCACATTCTTTGTAGCTCCCTGGAAACATGACTGCATCCATCTATGCCCTTCATGTTCTCCTTGGTATTCTTTCTACCTGGACAAACTCCTGGGCATCCTCTTTTGGGAGCTCTCTTGACCCTCAGAGCTAATTTCTCAATTTCAGAATTTTCTCTGCACAAAAACTTTAAGACAATAGTCCTTCAGAAAGAAACTTGGACTGAATGGTTTGGTTAGTAAGAAATGAAAAACTACTGGGGTAAAATAGAAGTGCACATTCCAGAAAATGCAAGTGCAGTTTCAGTTAATGTATGGCATGAAAACTCATTATGAGTAAACAAGAAATGGGTGAAAAATTGTAATTTATTGAAACTCAACTCAAAAAATATAAGATGCTGTAGTGTACAATATATTACACAAAGCACCCTCAGGTGCACATTCAAGTCAAGTAAGAACTCCATATCCCTTTCCCTAGCCCTCCCACCCTGGGATCTTAGTATTTGTTCCATATACAATCATGCACACTTAATTTGAAAAAGGAAGCCCCGATATATTTTGATGTATTAATTAGCACCAAACAAGAGTACAGTTCCATTTTTTTAATAAACAAAAACAAACAAACAAAAAAACCCCAATCAATAAACCAACTGGAGAGCTAATGGACTCAGCCAATACTGCTGACATAGATATTATACATTCATGTAAATACACAGCCTATTCTACCCTAAACAATGGTGTGGCTGGTTCACAGCCTTTGTTCAAATTGGCAATTGTCCCCATGTTGCAGTGTTGGAGCCAGTCTGTTTCTAAAACAAAATTGCTATTTAGGAACTTCCTACACAAAGCTCATCTGTCTTTTTTGTTGGAAACAAGTCTAAAATTGGTGTGGAAAACTTAGATCTTTCAAGGACAACCACTGGCCGAAGATAATGAAGCTGTTTTAAGGCAAGCTCTCCACAGTCCGTTAATGCTTTGTCCAATACAACCCTCAGGTTTTCCAAGGAAGGGACTGTTGTTGTCTCAGCTACTATCAAAGGTGGGATTGCAGTCAGGTTCTCATGAATTGCAGAGTCACTGGAAGAATGAGGTATGTCAACTTCAGGGTCATTGTCATTCACCATATTATTTGCCATAACACTCCCTGTTAAGTCATTAGTGGGTTGTGAAGAATTACTTAATGTTAAGTGCTCCGAAGGCTCCCAATCATCAAAATCATCTTCTTTCTCCTCGCTTTCCTGAATAAATTTCAGAAATGAAGATTCAAATCCCATAGGTTTGTAAGTCTTCAAATCAAATGACCTGGGCTGTGGATGCTTCCTAAAATTCTCTTTTGGGACAGGAGTTGAATTTTTTACAGTGTTTTCTTGCCCTGAACTTTGCTGCCCAGTTTCTGAGTCTTTGATCCTTGGTAAAGGCAGCTGGAAACTTGTGAAGTAAGTCCCACTTTCAGTCCCACTAGGATTAGGTATGGAATTTTCTATTTTACAAGGAGGAGGCTGAGCTATATTACATTGTTCCAAAGAAGTGGTTTCTGAACTATGGTTACATTTCAAAGTTCCTCTGTAGAGCAAAGTATCTGCATCAAATACTGGTTTGCTTTCTGTACATCCTTTCTGACCTCCATCCCTTTCGCCCGGATGAAGGGAATCCATGTTCTGGACAGGCACGCTATCAGCTGGGGAATGGCTGTGCTTTGTGTGCTCTGATTCACAGCTATTTTCTTCTTTCTTTATATAGGGCTCTGCTTCAGAAGGGGGCTCCTCCTTAATTTTGGTACCATACTTCACACAAACGACCAGGTTTTCCATCTGTTGCTCTAAATAGGCGCTACTCATCTGATGGGTACGTTTATAATGCCTCACTATGCTGCTCTCCAACTTTACCACAGATAAGCATCCTTGAACCATGCAGGGGTACTGTGTGTGCTCAGACTGCTCCACACACATATGGAGGGCTTCAGCTCTTGTTTTAAAACTAATCGGAGCCTTCTTTTCTTTGATTAAACTACATTTTTTAGCCTTAGCATTAAATGATCTCCTGGTAGTCTGATGTTCATGCCCCTGAGTGAGAGCTGTTGGACACACCTTTTCACTCCTTAGTAGCCTTTCATTTGCCACTTTCTGGCTTCTAAACAGATCATCATAATAGTCCTTATGTCGGTAATATACATGTTGAGAATAATTACTACGATGGGTGAAGATCTGGCCACAGCCATTAAGATCACAATGAATTTCATATTCTGAATGCATTTCTCCTTCAATATTATGCTGTTCCATCAAGTGGTGCTTCAACTTGCTGAATGTATAAAAAACAGCAGGACACTGAGGCTGGTTACAGGAAAACCTTGCTGCAGATTCAGCTTCAGAAAGCACTTTAGGCTCTTCAATATGGTCTAGGTTATGAGAGTCACTACAGTGCTTAGCAAGAGCTTTGGAACACAGGAAACGTTTGTTACATTCCTTATATTTGCAAGCAAATATCTTTTTACATTTGACAAGTTCCCTTTTGGTTCTTGCTTTGTCTTTTTCTAAACATAATTGTTCTTTGTTGTACTGATGTACAGTTCTATAATGACGAATCAAGCCTTTTAGATTAGTGAAGGAGGAGTTGCAAGTTTTATGGATACAATGGAATGGTTTGTGGTATTTATTCAAAATATAGCAGAGATTTCCTTTAGCAACAGTTCTCCTGCTACCTCTTCCCTCTCTTCCTTCTCGTTCTTCCCTATGGCTACCTATGGGTGATGAAATATCAGATGTTTTACTTTCTGTTTCTTCGCAAGAGGACTCCAAATCTGTCTCTGAACTGCATTCATCCTTTTTAGAGTGACAGTGTGGCTTCTCGGAGTTACTGCTGGGGTCCCCACCAAGTTCTGTAGAGCAATCACCTTTCAATCTATCTACTGAGCATGGGCCTTCATGATCACATTTTTCATTATCTAGTAGTTTGTGAGTTACTCTGTCACTGCCAATTTGATGTTTATTTTTATAATGAATCCTAAGGTGTGTTTTTCTTGTAAATGACCTTTGGCAAATATGACACTGGAATGGGGAATACCGATGTTGAAACATGGTTAACTGAAGGACCTTTTCTTTTGAGTAATTGTGTTTTTTAAGATAATGCATTAACAAAGCCTCTCTGGTCACAAATTCGTATTTGCATCCTTGAAGCTCACAGAAAAAAGGCTTAGCTGCCAACTGTGCAAGGTACTGACTTGGCATATTCTCGTCTTGATTCTGAAAATTAAGGTCTGAGATGGTAGGTGAAACCGATTGAAGAGACTTAGCACCACTGGATGGGTACCCTTGCAATGACCCTGAGAAAGATCCATGCGTTATTGAGTTTTTCAAGCTTAAATGTTTCAAGCGTAACAGAAGTTCCAACATGGTATCCTCTGTACATGGCCTTTTAGAAGCACAAACAGAAGCTTCTGAGGAATAACCTTGATATTCTCTTTTGCATTTAGCATGAATATTGTGATCTAGACCTTCATCTGGAGAGTCGCTGTTTGTATCTGAGCTGGGTTTAGGTTCTGCATCAAACTTTTCAGTTGCTTGATTATGTTCATTACCCAAACAGGGAAAAAGATCTTTTGTCTTTACCTTTTTGGGTTTGAAGTGGTATGGATGAACCTTCCGTAGATGCTTTTGCATCCCTCTTGCATTTTTGTACGTGGAACCACAGCCATCAAAACCACAGGTAAACTTAGTCCCATCAAAGCAAACTGCCACATTGGAACATTTTTCTTTTAAACTGGAGGGCACAAAGACTTTCTCATGAGATAATAATATATCCTGCATGGTTTCAGAGTGATCCAGTGTATCAATTAACTCTTCATTCATGGAAGCTGAAGAGCTGTGACTCAACTGATCACTAGAATTACTGTCACTGTTTTCTTTCAGGTTTTCTGCAGTTTCTATTTGAGAACTAGCTGATCCGGCACAGAAAAGAAGATCCTCCGGTAAATGTGATTTGTCAGTTTGGTCAAGTAGATGAGGCTGATCAATGCAATCTTGCTTTTCACCTGGGGCAGCCTCCTCAAGTTTCACCGATTTCTTCACATCTGCATTTGAACTTTCAACGTTATGCATTGAGAGGTGATCCTGGTATTCAATTTTGGAATAATAGAACTTTTTACAGCCAACAAAGTTGCACGTGTAAGATGCATCCCTAAAGTGTTGTGCTTCGTGGTGGTAAAGCTGTCCCAAATCACTGAAAACAATATTACAGCCATTTAATTCACATTTATAACGCAGATCATCATGTTTCTGTTTATGGTTAAGTAGTTCATTCACTGATCCGAACCTTGCATAGCAATCTATAGATACACACATATACGGCTGAGGACCACAATGCACTTGTTCATGCTCCCGCAGGTGAAAAGCAGACATGAAATGTCGTCGACAATAAGTACACTTCTCTCTTCTATTTTTCATATCCAAGTAGTGCTTGGCATTTTCATCATTATTTTGGTGTTCAGCTTTAAGATGTACACTTAAGTATTTAAATTGCTTAAATACTCGGGAACAGTCTGTGCCAGGACATGGGTACAAATCTCTGTCTTGCAGGTGGCAATCTTCTAACTTGCTAAATGTGACATATTCATGAGACTCTCCTTTGGCTTGTTCATCCAATGATTGGTTTTGCTCCAGGTTTGCAGAGGGGCTCTTGGGACAAATTCCCTTCTGAGAGCCTTTCAAGAGTAATTTCTTTCTAGAGCGGTCCCTTCTGCTTGGTGGCATTTTAACATGCTCCATCACATGAGGAACAAATATTTCTTTTCTCTTGAATTTTTTAATACAAACTGGGCAGGTGTAAATTCCATCTTCCATATGCATCTTAGAATGATGAAGAATCCTGGCCTCTATACATTCCCGCTTACATAACAAACAGAAAAATTTATACTGAAGCCACCTCTGGTATCTTTCAGAAGAACCAATGGGTTTTTTGTCTCTTTTCTCCTTATGCTGATCTGTCAAATCTCTTCTTCTATATTGTTTATCTTCTTTACCTTCCTCGTAGTCACTGAGAAATGACTCTAAAACATCTGTGTCATTAATAGACATTTCGTAGCCACTTAGATCATCATCAGAATCAGAGGCTTCTTGTCCTAGCAGTTGGTGGCAGTGGCGTTTTAAAGTCTTCCAGTCCCAAAATTCAGGATCAAAAGGCCAGTGGGCCTTTAAAGCTAGTAAGAGCTCGCATCGGAGAGAATTTGGAACTGGTGCATTTTCTTCATCAAATTTTTGATCTGGTTGCAAATACAGTTCTTCCAACATATTAAATCCATCCAAACTAGGTTCAATTAAGAATTCTGTAAGCTGACAGGCTCGTCTGACCTCTAAATCTTCTGGTAAAAGACAAGCAATTGTTTTGCAAACTGATGCCTTCATTTCCTCATCCTCGCTTGATCTGAGTTGAAGAGCTCTGACACATAGTAAAACCGACACTCCGAGACCAGCATCTTGTGCCTGTAAGAAAAATGGGGAGGGGAAAGAAGTTATTACTCTTTTTCATTATGAAGTATTACAGAACTTTCACTGGTAAGATACACACTTCTCAAACTTTAGTGTTCTTAAATTTATTTTTAAACTTCTTTCCTTTACATTTAGATCATTCTTTTTTTAATTTTTAAATGTTTTTTAAATTATTTTTGAGGAAGAGAGTGAGCAAGCGGGAGCATGAGCGGGGGAGGGGCAGAGAGAGAGGGAGACACAGAATCCAAAGCAGGCTCCAGGCTCCAAGCTGTCAGCACAAGAGCCTGACATGGGGCTTAGACCCATGAGCCGCAAGATGATGACTTGAGCTGAAGATGGACACTTAACGGACTGAGCCACCCAGGTGCTCTGATCTTTTTGACTCAACATGCAAAGAAAGGACTGGATTAGATGCTACAATGTACATTTATAGAGTGTCCAACTTTACAAGGCACTGCATATTAAAGCACGATCTAACCCTTAAGGAATTTACTTATATGCCAAATGTATAAATAATAAAGATACGTGAATTCAAAGGAAATCAGGATAAATAAGGTCATTGAAGGATTCAAAGAAGAATTGTCTTAGGCTGGTTAGGAAGGACAGGGCTTAAATAAGTGGGTGAAAGAGGACAGCTGTATAAAAGTTTGTCTAAGACTGAATTCAATTTAAGAAATTCATGTGTCATGAACAGCTGAGTGTTTTCAAAATCTCAAGGTTGAAATAATGATTCTCCCTATTTCATCCTAAAAGATTTAGTACTTTATAGCTATAGGTATACTCAATCTCAAGGTTCCCATGGGGGTAAAATTTTCTTAAATTCCTTCTATAGTGGCAGGTTCTCAGGAACTAGTCAAAAATCAGGAAAAAGAGGAGTATGAGTGCTCAGGTGGTTGGGTATCTGACTTTGGCTCAGGTCATGATCTCACAATTTGTGAGTCTGAGCGCCACAGTGGGTTCACTGCTGTCAGTGCAGAGCCTGCTTCAGGTCCTCCATCCCCTCTCCCTCCCTCTGCCCCTCCCCAGCTTGTGTTCTCTCTCAAAAATAAATAAACATTATGGGTACCAGGTGCTGGGTGGCTCAGTCAGTTGAGCGTCCAACCTCAGCTCAGGTCATGATCTCACAGTCCGTGAGTTCGAGCCCCACATTGGGCTCTATGCTGACAGCTCAGAGACTGGAGCCTGCTTCAGATTCTGTGTCTCCTCTCTCTCTGCCCCTCCCCCGCTCATGCTCTGGCTCTCAAAAATAAATAAATGTTAAAAAAATTTTTTAAAGAAAAAGATAAATAAACATTAAAATAAAGAAGTCAGGAAAAAGAACTGGTCATATATGATACAAGGCATATAAGATGACTTACATGAGAGGCTGAAATAGAATATGAAAATACTATGAGCAAAAAAAAGTAGGATTACACGCCAGAGTCATTTAAAATGCAAAGCATCATAGTTTTTTAAAAAGTAGCTTCTATGTCTACATTGGGGCACAAATTCATGACCCCGAGATCAAGAATTGCATGCTCTATAGATTGAGCCAGCCAGGTGCCCCAAGGGCATAAATTTCTGAGTCAGATTTTGACTGCCTTTGAACTCCAGCTTAACTGCAGTGACAAGTTCTTAATTCCTCAGCTGTATAAAATGAAAACAGTAGTGGTAATATTAGATTTCCCTCCTAACATTGTTATAAAAACAAAATAAGCAATATAAAGTGATTACTACATTGTTGGCACAAAGTATTCAACAGAATACCATGTAAAATAACAGGATAAATTCTACTCTTCAAATTGGTAATCAAATTGTTAAGCAATTATACTTCATTCTGAGTTCTAGGAACACAGAGAAACAACTACCATCAATTTATAGAACCCTCACTACATTCTTTTTTATTAAAAAAAATTTTAATGTTTATTTATTTGGGGGGGAGGGGGGTAGAGAGAGGGAGACACAGAATCTGAAGCAGGTTCCAGGCTCTGAGCTGTCAGCATAGAGCCCAACATGGGGCTCAAACCCACGAACCACAAGATCATGACTTGAGCTGAAGTCGGGATGCTTAACCGACTGAGCCACTCAGGAGCCCCTGAACCATTACTACATTCTAGGCACTATGCCAAATACTGTTTTCACACATTATCCTCATTTTATAGATGAAGAAACCAAGACTCAAAAGATTAACTGCCCAATGTCACTAGCTAGTAAGCAAGGGAACAAGGCTTTAAACTTAAGGCTATCTCTGTGCATAAATTAAGTTCTTAACGAATTTATAGCCTTTATGAATTTCAAAGCTTATGTGACATGGCTATATCCTATGTGCCCTATATATAATATGCCTGCCACTCTTTGTTCCAATAGCTACCTGATTTAAAATCAATTTATTCATGTCTTCGAAATTCAGTTTCCACGTTTTATATCCTATAACTTATTCACTACTCTTAACAAGTAACTTCTTGGTATATCTGTTCAGAATGCATAATGGTATAGTCTGTTTTTTTGAAAAGTGCTCTTAGTAATTTGGTAGATTTTACCACTGCATCCAGATCGGGCTATTTAAGAATAGAGGGGCGCCTGGGTGGCTCAGTTGGTTAAACATCTGACTCTTGATTTCAGCTCAGGTCATGATCTCACGGTTTGTGGGATCAAGTCCTGGATCTGGCTCTGCGCTGAGGGTGGAGCCTGATTAAGATTCCCCCACCCCTCCCTCGCTCATGAACACTCTCTTTCTCTCAAAATAAACATAAAAAAAGAATAGTTATTCTTTGCAGTTTATCTCATTCTTCCAAAAAGGAGTTAAGTAATAATAATAACTTGTTGAGAACCTATAAATTATTTTAAAACTTACCTGACCCTCTAAGTCCTTTGTGCTCTGATTTACAAATGATAATCGTATCACATTATGCAATTTGTCAACATACCCATGGTCTAGTCCTGACCCTGCTGCAAACTAGGTTTACAATCTTTACAAGTCATACACCTCTAATTTTGAGCTTCTTTATTAAAGAGAAGGAATTAAACAAGATAGTCCTATTTTGCAAACTAGTAAGCACTATATGTTCCACCAAAAAGGGCCAAATAAATTGGATTCAAGTTTCTTGAATGTTCCCCTCTTCTTTAACTTCCACTTCAAAATATAACATCATCTACATTAATTCATACTGTTTTTAAAGTCTAACAACTCTAAGCACCTTTATTTTTTATTTAATCAATTAATTAGAGAGAGAGAGAGCATGCACGTGTGAGAGTGGAGGAGAGGAGGGGAGGGAAGGAAAGAGAGAGAGAGAGAGAGAGAGAGAGAGAGAGAGAGAGAGAGAGAGAGAGAGAGAGAGANCACGTATACAGCACAATGATGTGGGGCTCAATCCTATGACCCTGGGATCATGACCTGAGCTGAAATCAAGAGTCAGACTCTTGGGGCGCCTGGGTGGCTCAGTCGGTTAAGCATCTGACTTCGGCTCAGGTCATGATCTCATGGTTTGCAGGTTTGAGCCCTGCATCAGGCTCTGTGCTGACAGCTAGCTCAGAGCCTGAGGCCCTGTTTCGGATTCTGTGTGTCTCTCTCTCAGAAATAAAACATTAAAAAAAAAAAAAAAAGTTTTAAGAGTCAGACACTCACCTGACTGAGCCACCCAGGTGCCCCTAAGCACATTTAAATGATCTGGTTTAAGCTCTTCATTTATAGAAAATGGAAGCCCAGAAAATAAAGAGATACTATTACCAGACCCTCTCCATTATACACTGTTGCCTTCTGCAAAAGACCTGATGCCCACATAAGCATTTTTAGCATCATTAACCTGTTCCATCCCAAGGACTACGTCATTGGTTATAAGCTGTCTCCCAATATCCTTTGCCTCTTCTGCTACAAAAACACAAAAACAGAAGGCCTGTTTCGATCTGGTTATGAAGTAACCTGAAATAATAAATATGTCTCGTGTCTCCTTTGCAGCTAGATGTGGCTGTGTGTGTGCATTAGAAGGAATGAGGAAAAGGTGTTATCATGGTGTGGTTTGCCCCCCTAGCTCCCAGCCCCCTGCTATCAGGAATGGACATGATAGCTAGGATTTGAATAGTTAGCTTTTAGAACATGAGATGAAAACTATGTGTTGATGGCAGACAAAAAAGGAACCTGGGTTTCTGAAACGTGGAACCACTAAAAACAACCTTGGCCTGTCTGCCTGGATTACCTGTCTATATGAGAGAAGGGAAAATTTCCATCTTCTTTAGAGCACTACTATTGTGGGATATCTACCACTCATGGCAGAACTAGATTCTTTTTTTTTTTTTTTTTAAATTTCTGAGAGAGAGAGAGAGAGAGAGAGGGAGGAGAATCTGAATGAGAATGAGCAGGGGAGGGTCAGAGAGAGAGGGAGATACAGAATCTGAAACAGGCTCCAGGCTCCGAGCTGGTTGTCAGCACAGAGCCTGGCACAAGACTCAAACCCACGAACCGTGAGATCATGACCTGAGCCGAAGTCGGGCGCTTGACCGACTGAGCCACCCAGGAGCCCCATGGCAGAACTAGATCCTAATCAACAGAGATTAGATCATCTCTCTTTAAAAACCTAGAGGTGAGTCTCTCAATTTGAAAGGAATTCTCCATTCACTGCCCTTCTACCTACCAGTCAACATCTTTTCTTTTCTTTTCTTTTTTAAATTTATTTCTGAGAGAGAGAGAGAGAGCGAGCGAGCAGGGGAGGGTCAGAGAGAGAGGGAGACACAGAATCTGAAGCATGCTCCAGGCTCTGAGCTGGCAGTCAGCACAGAGCCTGATGCGGGGCTCAAACCCACGAACCGTGAGATCGTGACCTGAGCTGAAGTCGGACGCTCAACCGACTGAGCCACCCAGGCGCCCCTGATCCACATCTTTTCTGCTCTTTAGACCAGTTATCATGAACAATTATAGTGGAAAGTTCCCTAGACGAGGATTAAAGACGAACGATCTGGTTATGTAAGTAGACAGCAAATTTCTTGGTCTGTGTCAGAAATCCACTTTTTTTTTTTTTTTTTTTAAAGTAATCTCTATACCCACGTGGGGCTTGAACTCACAACTCAAACAAGAGTCACATGCTTCACCAACTGGGCCAGCCAAGCGCCTCAGAAACTCAGCTATCTCATTTTCTGTGATTCCTCGAGGTAAGCAGAATTCTAAAATGACCCTCAGTGACCTTCACTTTTGTATAATCTCCTCCCCTCAAGTGTAAGTGGAACCTGTAAATATGATATAATCCCTATGATTATGTCATGGCAAAAAGGTCTTTGCAGATGTAATTAAGGCCCCAAATCAGCTGATCTTAAGACAAGTGGATTACCTAAGTGGGCCTGACCTAATCTTTCAAGCCCTCTACATCTAGGTCTGGAAGTCAGATTTAGAGATTAGATTCAAATTAGGAGAATTTCTTACATGTCTACTGGCTTAAAAATGCAGGTATGGAATGAGGGAGGCTTCTAGTAGCTGAAAACAAGCTACGTCTGACAGCCAGCAAGAAAATGAGAGCTTTGGTCTTACAACGCAAAGGAACAGAATTCTGTCAACAAGAATGTGCTTAGTAGTGGATTTTTCACAGGCTTCCAGATAGGAACACAATCTGACCAAAACCTTGATTCTACCTTCCTGACAGTCTGAGCAACAAACTTGGCCATGTTGTGCTATGCCGTGTCCTACAAAACTGAGCTAACAATTGGGTGTTGTTTTAAGTACTACATTTGTGGCAATTTGTTATTCAGCAAATAGAAAACTAATACTTTACTCAAAAGTTACAAAATAACTTTTTTAAAGGCCAGTTCTAAAACTAATTAAAAAAATTTTTTTTAACCTTTATTCATTTTTGAGAGACAGAGTGTGAGTGAGTCAGGGAAGGGTAGAGAGAGGGGGAGACCAGAGGGAGACAGAGAGCCTGACATGGGGCGCGAACCCACAGACCACAAGATCGTTACCTGAGCTACTGAGATGCTTTAATCGACTGAGTCACCCAGGTGCCCCTAAAACTAATTTTTAAAAATAAGACAAGTTCGGTAATTACTTGAACATGTTCTTTCTGTGACAGGAGACACAACTTCATTCACAGTGATTAGAAATAGTTATCGCCTAACTTATCTGACCATGAATTTACTTTTTAATAAATGCTCTACCTTTTCCTATCTTCACTGGAAAAGACCAGACCAACATATTTCAAATAAAGTATAGGATACAGATGTTTACATTAGAGGAGAAAGGATGTCCAAAGATACAACTGTGCCTTGGCTTTAGTATAAACAATCTTTGGATGTGTCAAAGAAGTAACCCATAGAACATACCCATGAGCCATTACAGATATGGGTACATGGAGAGCTCTGCCATGAGCAGATACTAAAAACAAAACAAAAACAAACAGTATAAGGTTTGTCCTGAATCTCTAAGCTGATAGTCTTATATGTCTATAGAGCTCAAGTCAACACAAGGCTTTATATACAGCACTTCATTTCATGTAGGAAATATTTACTTCCTAAAAATATCTAACTTGTTTCCTACTGGTGTGCACAGAAGATTATAATTTTACATAGCTGATTCTGGAACTGTTCAATTATTCCAAAACCTAAGAAACATATCACTCTGTTCTTAAGGAAAACATTAAAAATATAATTATATTTTCTTTATTTTTAATAAGTATGACAATATGCAAACAAACTTGCCTATACAAAATATAGAAAACTGTTCTAGGAAAAGCAGACATAGGGTAGTTGAGGGGATAGCCCAGAAATATAATATTCCCTTCTGCCAGGCACTTCAAATCACTATTTTCCACTAAGAAAAACTGTGGATTCCAGGAGGTCAATGTGCAGAAACAGCAAGATATGTCCAATTCCATAATCTTCCCTCATCTAAAAGGAGTTGCCTGGGAAGTAATCTCCCTACTCTTTTCTTCAGTTTCAGGACAATCATCATAAAAAGCAAAATTACTCACTTCTGTTTGTATAACTCTAATCAGACAAAACAAATGCTGCTGTGTTTTAGCTATGACACCAAATTGACGACAGCGCTCCAAAAAAGTGTCCAAAGATGGGTCAATTCTTCTCTGCAGTTTACTCCAAAAGAGAGTCAACTCCCTATAAAAAGAAAGATTAAGGTAAAACATTTAAAGCAACTGGTATTTGCTGTCCACCCTCCAACCCCATTTTGGTTTGTAAAGGTAAATTGATAGTACACAAAAACTAGAAGGGAAAAAAAACCTGTCTATACTCTCTATTGCATTCCCTCACTGGTAAAATTGTTAAGAATCCTCCCTGAAAATTCCACCACTTCTTTTCTTTTCTTTTTTTTTTAAATTTTTATTTATTTCTAGGGAGGAGAGGGAGAGAGAGAGAGAGAGAGAGAGAGAGAGAGCGTGTGTTTTGGTGTGTTTTAGAGAGAGGGAGATACAGACTCTGAAATAGGCTTCAGGCTCTGAGCTGGCAGTCAGCACAGAGCCCGACGCAGGGCCCGAACCCACGAACCGCGAGATCATGACCTAAGCGAAAGTCGGACGTTTAACCGACTAAGCCACCCGGGCGCCCCCCACCACTTCTTTTCTTTGTGGTGGGAGAATATAAAAACAACAAAACTATTTCCTTTATGCTGACTTTTTAAAAACACTTAGATTCTGTCGTGTTCCAAAAGGTTTCACCCCTTGTACTGGTAATTACATTGACTGAATTAAACTCTATCCTAGTGGGTGGAGATCATCAGCTATCCCTACACTGCTAACAAAATGTATACAACTAATAAATATTCTAACAGTACACTTCCTCACTTACCTGGCCCTTTCTAGCTCTAAAATCTCATGAAGCTACTTAGGTTAGGCATGTATTTTGCAATGTTTAAATATGACTAATAAAATGAGCAAAATGGCACTTTTGGAAATGGTGAAAATACAAGAATCTTACAAATACTCATTATGGAAACAAAGAAAAGCTTGAAAAAAACCAAGTTAGTTAAAAGCACTGAATGGGTTAAGAGAAAATTCTTTTTTAAGTTTATTTTGAGAGAAAGAGACAGAGAGCATGAGCAAGGAGGGGAAGAGAAACAATCCCAAGTAGGCTCCGAGCTGTCAGCACAGAGCCCAACATGGGGTTTGAATTCACCAACTGTGTAAGATCATAACCTGAGCCAAAATCAAGAGTCTGACGCTTAACTGACTGAGCCACCCAGAAGCCCCAAGAGAAAATTCTTAGGGAAAAGCACTAGTAACCCAGAAATGTCCAGGATAAAAATACTAATATGAATGTGAGGGAAGTTACTTGGTAAAACTGAAGAGAATGTTACCACTTTTAAAAAGTGACTCTTTTCTTTACACTGCCATACTGTAATATCTGGTAAATAATTTTCATAAAAAATATTATTTTCACAAGCCAGTTTTAGAAGACTAATAATATCTTACTGCTATTCACAGACTATCCTAGGAAGCTGGGTACGAATACAAAGCTTAACAAATGAACAAACCTCAAAAGACTGAAAATAAACATATTTAACAGAACTTATTTTATTATACTTTCTTTCTTTATTTATTTAGTTGAACTAATTAATTTATTTAGAGAGTACATGCGTGTGAGCAGGAGAGGGGCAGAGGAAGAGAGAGAGACAATCTCAAGCAGGCTCCATGTTCAGCGCAGAGCCCAACACAGGGCTTGATCCCATGACCCTGGGATCATGACCTGAGCCAAAATCAAGAGTTAGCTGCTCAACCAACTGATCCACCCAGGTACCTCTATTATACTTTTAAAGAGGTAATGAGGATTCTCATATGGTGAAATTCTTATATATATACAAAACTTCCCTCAAAGATTGAAATTAATATACTCCTCAAAAGGTACATTATTAAAGCTCTTAATATTTAATGATGGCAAATCTGAGCTGTGATAATAAAATTAACTGAAAATGATTTTAAATGTTTGTCTTTGGTGACTAGTGTTGCTTTCCTAACCAGGAAAAGTAAAAAATTGAGACAGGTCAGCTTTGAAAATAGCTATTGGCTAGGCAAGTAACTGGGGTGACTGTCCATTTTTAAACTCACAAGATTCTGGGCGCCTAGATGGCCCAGTCAGTTAAGCATCCAATTCTTGGTTTCAGCTCAGGTCATGTATGATCTCATGGTTCCTGAGTTTGAGCCCCCGCATCAGGAGTATCTATTACCTAAAATTCGTCAACTAGCTAGAAGTTTAAAGTTAGGCAAATCTGATAAAGTGATAAAAGGCAGGTTTGAGTACTAAAGTCTCCTAACAATTTTTTTAAGTTTACGTATTTATTTTGAGAGAGAAAGACAAAGAGTGCAGGAGGGGCAGAGAGAGAGAGAATCTCAAGCAGGCTCTGTACTCCCAGCACAGAGCCCGATGTGGGGCTTGAACTCACGAACTGTAAGATCATGACCTGAGCAGAGACCAAAAGTCGGGTGCTTATTAACCAAGTGAGCCACTCAGGAGCCCCTGAAATAATTTTTAAAAAATAAATCAGAATGTCTAGGGCTTGATTTATTACAAATTAAATATTTCAAGCTATAGTTATTTTAACTCCAAATAACCACGATCAAAAAAGGGCATTGTTTTTAAACATACTTACATAATTATGATCCAATAATTTAAAACTACTATTCATTACCCAACCAAACATATAAACTTGCCTGAATGAAACCAATTCATGAAAATGCCACCAAGTCATCCATTCAAATATGAACACTGGAAAACCAAAACCACCAGTAACTAGTAACTCGGAGCCTGCTGGATCATACATGCACTGGGATGAATATCAATTACAACAATGGTATGATTTTTTTTTAATGGACAACCATTAAAGAATATACTGAAAATGATTCCACTGTATAGATGCTTCCAACTAGCCTACTGCCTATCTCAAGCCAACAAAGTATATAGAGAGTCATAAAAACTGGAAAGGAAATCTAGTTCTATTAATTGTAGGAAACACACTTCAGCAAAGATCTAGCCACCACCAGGCAAGAACTTTAAATTACACTGGGTTTCTGCATATCAGGAAGCCCAAAGTCCAGTTAGTATGTCACACTGTTATCTAGAATTTAGGCAGTGTGGAAATGAGGCAAAGAAAACTTTGTGGAATTAAGGAATGACCATCTCTAAAGGTGGCTCCTGAAAATATAGTATGTGATTCTCATGACCCCTTTTTATTTCCAACAAAATTTGGTTAAATAAAACATATATGGATATGTGGTCTTTGCCAAGTACTAAGGACAACACACATATCAACCCCAATATATCAGTCTAGCCTGGGAGAGAACAGGCATGAGATTACATATAAAGGAACACAAATGTACAAGATTATTTTTTAATGTTTATTTATGAGACAGAGAGAGAGAGAGAGAGAGAGAGAGAGAGAGAGAGCAAGTGCAGCGGGGAGGAGCAGACAGAGAGGGACAGAGGATTGAAAGCGGGCTCTTCAATGACAGCAGTGAGCAGGTGGGGCTTGAACTCATGAACCATGAGATCATGACTTAAGCTGAAATCAGATGCTCAACTGACTGAGCCACCCAGGTACCCCCAACATACGTTAAACTCGGATCTAAGAAAGCAAAGGTCAATCTATCAAATACTTGCTGAAAGCTTTGTGTGGAGATTTAAAGCTCACCTGTATGAACTTCATTTTTATTTTTTTTTAATGCTAGTTTGCTTTTGAGAGAGAGAGAGGCACCCCTGTATGAACTTTAAGTCTTAATGTTTGTTTATTTTTTAGAGACAGAGCATGAGTGGGGGAGGGGCAGAGAGACAGGGTGACATAGAATCCGAAGCAGGTTCCAGGCTCAGAGCTGTCAGCACTGAGCCCAACGCAGGACTTGAACTCATGAACCTTGAGATTACAACCTAGGCCAAAGTCAAAAGCTTAACCAACTGAACTCTACCTAGGCGCCCCATGAACTTCACTTTAAAAGCAGCAGTAGTAATTACACATCTGTACATACACTGTCCCATTCAAAAATGGGTATCTTTCTTATCTGCTCGGCTACTCTAACAATATTACCACTGCTGACATCTATAGGAAACTCATTCCTCCAGCACTTCTCTGATTTTTGCAGAGCCAAAACTCTTTTGGGGTCATGGTTAATTAATAAGCTGAGTAATATACCTTTTGAGATCAATCATACATATGGTGACTACTATAAACTAATAGGAAATATTTTATTGTGGTTTGTAAGTATTTCTAAAGAAAATTTCTAAGAAAATTTTAAAAAACTGTTCTGGGTAAGTTACATAGTTAACACTTCAAATAATATCTTCTGTGATGATCACATTCAAGAATATTTCCAATAAATAAATTCTAGTATGTATGTTTAAAAATAAATGACTGCTTTATCAGATTCCAACTTTGACATGTTTTATAGAATTCCTAAATTTCATTTTCCTTAGTGAAATATCTCATCCCAATATCCCATTAGCAAAACAAACAAACAAACATCCATGAAAACAATAGAAAGGGTTTAAACAAAAAGGCTCCAAATTTGAAAATTTTAGATTCTGTTTCTCTTTAAACTGCTTGGGATAAGCTTGCTTTTAACCAAGTGTGAAGTGACTAAATATTTTCTTTCCTTTACTCATTCTAGCTCCTCAGGAGGCCAACAAGAGGGAAATCCTTGTTAATCCCTTCCTGCTGTGGGAGCAGCATTAATCCGACAGCTTTTAACATCCTTGGAAGGGCTAATGTGAAGAAAGGAAGAATAGTTATAGGTCACTCTAGAAGGGGAACTCTATTAGGAACATTAAAAGAACCGTGTGACTATAGTTTTAAAATTACTTTATAATCAAGAAAAATCTCAAATAAATGACCTAAACTTACTCTTCAAGGAGCTAGAAAAAGAACAAAGCCCAAAGCCAACAGAAGGAAGGAAATAAAAAAAGATTAGAACAGAAATAAGTGAAATAGAAACTAAAGAAAACAGAACAGATCAAATGAAACCAGGAGCTGGTTCTTTAAAAAAAAAAAAAAAAAATCAACAAAATTGCTAAACCTTTAGCCAGAATCATTAAAAAGAAATCATAAATGAAAGAGGAAAAACAACAACCTACACCACAGAAATACAAAGAATTATACAAGATTATGAAAAATTATG